CGAGTAGCATCGGATATCTAATCGAGGAGATTGACATCCAAAAGCGCTAACTGCAATATACCTGAGATTCACATGCTGGCAATAGAGACTTGCTTCATACTGAGATAGGAACTTTCGATAGGGATGTTCATTATATTGAAGTTAGAGAGTGAGTAATGTTTTATGCCACTTTTAGCAATAATCCAGCAATAAGGTGAGGGACACCAGAAAAAGGTTTCATACACTGTACCCAAGAGGGGAATTGAATCCAGGCCTTCCACATGACGATTGAACACTTCAACCACATGGCTACATCACCGCCCCCATTGTATTGAAGAACTAGAGTGAGACTTTAGGATCAATGAAGATTTGAGATTGAGTACAGTCTCAAGCTTCTTTAGCAAAGATATAGCATTATCATGTCAAGCAGTATTCCAGATACTGTGGTGAGTGAGTGAGTGAGTGAGTGAGTGAGTGAGTGAGTGAGTGAGTGAGTGAGTTTGGTTCAATGCTACTGTGTACAGTCCAGCAAATCCCGGTGAAATAAGAGAGGAACAGAAAATGTTTTTGAGAAAACACTCGACATAGTCTCTAAGCCATTGATTATGTTAGTGTTAAAGCTTTGAAACATACATCCTAAAATTTTGGAAAGCAAGTTCATGTGTGACACAGAATAAACATCTCCTGACCTGTTTCACAAGGATGTCGAGACCCATGAAGATCCGGGGTAGAATAGGTCTTCAGCAACCCATGCTTGCCCTAAAAGGCGACTATGCTTGTCGTGAGAGGCGACTAAGAGGATAAGGATATCAGGCTCGCTGACTTGGTGGATGCATGTCATTGTATCCCAATTGCGTGGAGCAATGCTCATGATGTCAATCACTGGATTGTGTGGTCCAGACTCGATTATTTACAAACCACCGTCATTTAGCTGGAATATTGCTGAGTGTGTATTTTACATGTGTATGGAACTGGGGACACCAGTAGTTTCAACACTGCTTTGGCTACATGCAGTGTTTATTATAGGTGAGGTGAAATGGGGTTTAACGTCACATACCAGATTATTGTACTTATATATATTGCAATGTGCATTTGTGTGTGTGTGTGTGTGGTTGCTTGTACTAATCCGGACTGATGCTGATTTATAGTGCTAGCCCACTGAGATACCATGCTGCAGTTTAACATGAATGCCCAACTCAGATACAGTACCGTATATCGCTGTGTATAAGGCGACCCCACGTATAAGACGACCCCCCTGTACACGCCTTCAAAATCAACCCAAAATCCTATACTCCGTGTATAAGGCAACCTGGAATGAAGCACATCACAAGTGCGCACACAAACCTTATATTTGCAATAAAAATATGTTTATCTTGCGTTGTTTTTTCTACGATGATTGGTCGCGTGTGTAACTCCAGCACATGTTTCCATTTTGTGTTTACACGGTTCGACACCAAATTGGTGCCCGTAAAATAAAATTCATTTATGAAGTACTAACATATAAGAGACAATGGTGAGTAGTTTAATCGCAAATTAACTATGTTGTAACTAACTAGGCTTATGTTTGCTTCACATTCAGCGTGTTTATTCCACAATCACTTATACACACCGTCTCCAACACTTGTTAATACAACTGTAAAAAGAGCGGGAATTGATTTCAACTTCACCGGTTGTCACATGTTAGGTCACATGTGCAATATGCAAATGCTTACCGGTACTTCCGGCTCTCTACTCACGGATGTTGATTGTTTTACCGTGTCAGCTGGTTTGACAATCTGCATGGAGGCGAGGGTCATTTCAACTTTATTTGCAAAAATTATTAACCCTTATTCAAGGAAAAGAGATTCAAATCATGTTTATGTATGGAAATAGTTACTGGAACAGTTATTTAGGACGAAATGCGAAGTTTTATTGTCAAATGCTGGGCTGACTAACGGACGCTGGTTGACATCGCCAGTGGAAAAAAATGTGAGATCTTCGACTCCGTGTATAAGACGACCCCCTTTCTTAACCCCCTCATTTTAGGTACGAAAAACTCGCCTTATACACAGCGATATACAGTATACTGACTCTGACCCGACCAGTCCTTGTTTTAGCCCCATAATGCAGAGTACCAGGCAAAGTAACAACAAGTACCATCCTTTAACATCTCTTGGTATAATGCGCCCGGGGACCGAATGCTGTAAATCTAGACAAAGGAGGCGGTCCCAGTCAAAATGAAAATATAATACACTAATGCATAGGTGAAATTGCGTTTAACCCCAGGTTAAAAAAAATATTGTTGATCGCAACATCCAAATTCTTGCATACCAAATCACAAAATCCACATTCATCTCAGTCCATATTCTAAATTCTAACTTAAGAAATCTTAATTGTTTTGCACAAAGTGAAACAGTAACAAAAGAAAAACAATAAAATGTGATACAACCCTTTAACAGTCTTACAAAACACAATGCTAACACCATCAATACTAGAAGCATCTTTCAAATCTTGTTTCAGTCCCAAAATAAGTAGAAAAGATGATTTAGCATCAAAAGAATAAAACAACATTAATAAACATACCGGGGTTTACTTTACCCATCATCTCTATCCATCCCTCTTACCAACATAGGCCTACAGATGGCCACAAAGCTTCTCAGTGTAAGCCAGTGTGATTGACAGACGTTCAGCCCTGTCGTCAGGCAGCCATATTGATTTTTCCACATATTACCTAGAACTGTTTCTTTTGTCTGCCTCCCTCAACAGACACACAGACAGACAGTGGTCATCTCTGGCTTGTTACCTCACCTTCAGGCCAGGCCAATTGAATTTTTTGTTCGACACATTTTCTTGGAAAAAACGAATAAAACATGACACAAACTACAAAATGTTTTCAGTGTAAATTTCACATTATTTTACTGAAATAAAAGCTTTCATAAAAAAATATTTGATAATGGGGATAAAAAACTTCATAACCTTACCATTAAGGATCAACCACATCATTGCCACAAACACTAGCTGGAACCCGTTTATACAAACGTGTAATTGTGTGACAGGAATACAAAGATCCTTGTTACAAAGCCTACCTGCTACCCATATAGGGCCCATACAACTACATAACTTTATGCCCAAAGAGTAATTGTGTCCCGCCACGAAAACAAATCGGTACCACTAAACATAAAAGTGAATGATTTCAATGCCCTGCAAGTCTGTGCAGGGTACACCCAGTGCACAGCTCAGTCAGGTAAGTCATGTTGAAATCCTGCAAGCATTCATTCATCATATACATTATTCAACCCGATCTGTTAGCCAGCTTCCCAACACACATCTTTGTCGTTAATATGCCTTGTGGACTGAATCCAACCCTGTGCATTCAGTGCTGTAATGTACACAGTTAATAATGGATATGTTATGGGGCTGAGTTTTCACCATTTGTCATGAAGCCTGGACAGCCCCTGACAGAGAGCCAGTGCTTGGCCCCCGTCTTATAGCTCTTTAGCACAGAAACAACCATTCAGTGGGCTATTTTCTGATTTATATTTCGGAGAACAAGATATTTCTATTTGAAGTAACTGCCAATTTTAATTGCATGACTGTGAAAATACATCCAAAATGTCACATTTTCATGCGATATGAAGTAGGTGCTGTTTAAAGATGAAAGCGTAATGCTGAGATTGTACAGATAAGTGTTGGCGACACTTGCACTACCGTAGTCTCTGTTGTCTGGGTGCTAATGGGAATTAATCATGTTGTCTTTTGTTGAAAGAGGAGGAGGAGATATGGAGATAGTGATGTGGTGAGTGTTACAGGACCTTGTGACAGACAGGCCCCTGCATCCCCCTTGTCACAGTCTGTGAATGTACTTCAGTGACAGATATAGCTGGCAGAGAGCTGTCACATTCATGCTTACATACTATATCACTGGAGTGCCTTGACAGGCATCTGTACATGTACATGCTGCATCACTGGAGTGCCTTGATAGGCATCTGTACATGTACATGCTGCATCACTGGAGTGCCTTGATAGGCATCTGTACATGTACATGCTGCATCACTGGAGTGCCTTGATAGGCATCTGTACATGTACATGCTGCATCACTGGAGTGCCTTGATAGGTATCTGTGTATACATGCTGCATCACTGGAGTGCCTTGACAGGCATCTGTACATGTACATGCTGCATCACTGGAGTGCCTTGATAGGTATCTGTGTATACATGCTGCATCACTGGAGTGCCTTGACAGGCATCTGTATACATGCTACATTATTGGAGTGCCTTGATAGGCATTTGTATACACATGCTGCATTACATGTAAGTGATAGGTATCTGGCTATGTACTGAGTTAGTGGTATGTATAGATATATATGAGTTACCTTAATATGACTGTCCTATCATGATTCACATTTTTTTCTGAATGATGTCTTAAGTTTAAGATTTCCTTTTATATTTTTTTAAACAACGCAAACATTATGACATGATGCTCCTTTCTTAACTTTGCTTTATGTCCTTTAACAAATAAGAGGTCGGATAACTCGACATTAGAATGAGTCATACAATCGCTGAGAACAGGTGGTGGAGCTGTCATGTTTTGGAGCATGCACAAATCCTGCTTACTGTGTCCATACTGATCATACATACAAGATTGGTTTCTGAAATGTTGAGCATTAATCAAGGGCCCCACTTACGTGGCTCCTCATCCTCTGTTAGTCATCAGCAACAAACTGTATCATTACAAAGCAGCCATCATACTTTCACAGCCTGGAGCCAACACAACATCAAATATTTCATATCAAATTCCTCATCACTAGGTTTCTTAGTCTTCAGGGAATTCTAATAAACACAATTTTTATTAATTTTTTTCAAATTATGGAAATAATAACTCCTGTGTCCAAAACAGTGACACATGACTCTGGCACCGCCAGAGGGGAGGAAAATATCACAATTTAGTTAAATCTCACCATCCATGAAATAGAGGTCTCGGATTGTGGTCGGTGTTGATGATTTACCTGAAACAAGGGTCAAGCTCGTTAAGGTGGTTATTACCTGTTTCACCTGTGCTTGTTATCCCCCTGGGCGGGGAGGAAGATTATCCCAGGTTACTACACCATCCCACAATCCGCAGTCTCTTCCTTTGTCTCAAAGAGCCGTGATCCTGTCAAGAGAAAATTAAATTTTCTGCTTGAAAGTCCAGTTGGGATCAAATTTTGGTTGACAACACAGTGAACAAAATGCGTCCCTTTTCAGGAAGCCCAGAAAAAAGGGGTAATTAAGGGTAATTAGTGCAGATTGGTTCCACAAATGCCTTTGCAATGGCAAATGATCCCTAGTAACAGCCATGCAACCCAAATTGCTGAGAAAAATCCAGATTTTTGTATTTTTTCATCAGGTGTTCAGACTGGCGCGTTTTTGCTTGTGATGGAGTGGGAGACTGATGCAGTCCATTTCTTGACCTGGGTGTCTTTCTCTGTGACGCGTATCAAACTTGTCAGTTAAATTAATCCTTCAAATTATTTTTTCTGTCTAATTCCATCCTATTCAATTTGCTTTTAAATAGCTTCCAGTAATTTCAAACATAAACATGGAAGACCGAAGCAGACAGATTTAAATAGACCAAGAATTGAACTTGAAAATTGATTAAGAGTTGGTCTTGATAAGGTTCTCCGAGTGTTTCTCCCTGTGATGGGTACACTGTACTGACTAATCTGCTATCAGCTCTGTGGTAACTGAAAGTTATAACACTTCAATAAAGATAATTATTTAGATACTTCTCACAATTTGAAAATGAAATCTATGATCTCTATGCATTAGACATTGATTGGGGGAACGTATGGATTTCGCGGCAAATAGGTTCCCAAATTATGTGTCAGCATTTCTGTATTTGAACTTTAGGATTGACTCAGGCCAGATATTGGATTGAATAATTAAGTCATCAAAAATAGGGTATGCAAGGATATGTAGATGTATTCTAGTAACACAAAGTGCATCACAATTCAAGTCAAAAAACAAAAATCAAATACAGTTTTAACTGTTTGGAGACGGAAAAAAATTCTCTGATAATTAGCAAAATCTCATCACACTGCAAGAAATCTCATTACTTTTAGACCTGGAGAGATTTTCTCTCCTAGGTAATATCTTCCAGGGACAATCCCTGTATGTCCCCAAGGCTGTGAGGCTCTTGCTGTTCCATGATGGACTAAAGTAGTGATTGGTTGGTCATAACGCCGGCTGGGAATGACCAGGATGAGAGCATTTCAGTGTAGTCCAACCAAGTTACGGTTTATGTGTGTCCACGGTGAAGATAGTTGCTCATACTTTCTCATAATTCCTGATACTTTGTAGCTCATTAGTTATTGCCTACAGAACCCAGAAGTGCTTCTAAATATATGTTTTCTTATGTGGTGAAGCAGTCATCAGCAAAATTATTGTCTAACACAGATTTAGAGTGAGTGAGTGAATTGGGTTTAACGTCGCTTTCAACATTATTCCAGTCATATCACGGCGTGTCAGCTTAATGTGGGAGGAAAGCCCGAAGTGAAGCAGGTCTCAGACGTTTACCACTTCGGTGAAACCCGTGAGCATGGGTATGGTGCTGACAAACCAAGAAACATAATCGTGGTGAACCGGAATTCTAACCCACAATCATAGGTTTCTGGCGTGCCCAAGGGATGCAACTCTGCACAACGAATCACGGCGCCTTAGATGACTGGGCCACCCGCACAGATTTAGAGCTAGTAGACCAATCAGAAAGCAGGATTCTAATATGTCATGGTAGAATCTCTAACACTTTCACTCACTCACACTAAAACTAGTCATTGAACTGCTTTCTGAACGAGCATAACTCAATAAACTTAAGCATCAAATCTAAAGCGCTGGTCACTTGCTAAATACAAATACAAAGTGATAAACTAGACAGGGTTAAAATGTTTGAAGTTAGACAAAAATAAATAAATCTATGTGTAATAATTTCAATTTCACATTTGTAATGATTTGAAATTCCCATTCTAATTCATCAAACGTGACTGTTTAAAAATATTTCTTGTGTTTAAATAGTGTATTTTGGATATTAATTTTCAATGAATTCATTTCCTATGACATTTTATCAGCAATCTCGCTCTACGGCCATCTGTGTTAGAATTTTAATTTTGCAACGGAAATTTAATTTTCATAATCCCTGTGCCCAAGACATCGTATTATTCATTTCTTTGTCCAAGTTGACTGTGAGTTATCAGCTATCTGAAAAGCCTTCACAAACTGATAGTTTTTAAACCAGGAGCCAGAGTTTCTAACTATTTGACAAATTAACATTCATAATTATTTCAGCTTTGATGGGAATTAGCAGGCAATGTCGAAAATTTGATTAATCCGACTGAACTTGAGAATATCAGCCAGAGACACCTATTTATCATTATTGTAAGGAAAAGGAAAATTCTTTATCTTTTTACTTGATTTAATATGAAAAATCACTTTCCAACTGTTTAAGATACAAAAATTATGAAACTACTTTTTTTGTGTGTTCATTTAAATCCCATGATTAATGATTGTATTTTCTACATGATGACAGAGTTAGGTCCCCTGACAGTCTGTGCTGGAGTTATCTCCCCTGACACAATGTGGTAGGCCTTAGTTCAGCTTTATTAATCCTATGACAAAATTAGTCTCTGACCACAATGTACTCCCTTCCCCCCTCCCTCTCTGTGTCTCTCTCTCCCTGTGTATCTCTCTCCCTGTGTATCTCTCTCCCTGTGTATCTCTCTCCCTGTGTATCTCTCTCCCTGCCTCACACACAATTTCCTTTCTGAAGATGAACAAAATGTATTCAATACACTAACATGACACAATATGTTTACGGGATTAATAAAAAACTGAATTAATAAATCATCCAAATATAAAATATACCTGGACATATTTACAGAACAGATTTGTCAGAGTTTTGTTTCATGTTTTTGGGTCTTGAGACTACCTACAGTCACTCAGATTTATGATGGTCTATATTTTGATGCACTAACAGTTCCCATCAGCGGCAATGAATCAGCAAATTTCAAATTGAATGGAAACTAACGTAACAGTTCGATTCTAAAAAAATTAACAATAAATCAGTCACTGCCATAAATGCCCCCAAATATATTCCTCTGTAGCAGCCACGTCATGTTTAAAAAGTTCAAACAGCTATGCTTTCAATTTGATGAAAAATTCAATACAGCAACATCACAAACGTAACATGACGTCCCACTGTAAGAAAGTGCATCATGTTCGTCTGATGACCTTATGTTAAACATCGTTAAAGTTTTGATACACGACTTAATAAATCTTAGAACACTACATTTAATTTTACTTCATAATATGATTAAATGAGCAAGGCTATACATTTCATTAAGGTCCATTAGAAACACAGCACTGAATTATATCGCGATGAAACGTCAATACAGAAAAAACATTCTCAACATGACAGGCCGTATAATGGCTGCTCCCTACCCCCCAGCGAGCTGCCTGTCTCGGAGTAGGTGGGTAGGCCAAATTACTACCCCAAAGCAGGTGGTATCTCCTCAGTTTTGGACTTAGTAAATGTGGATGAAAATGTGAACACACACGGGCATGACAGGGTACTGACATCTTTGGAAATGCTAATTAGAAATGAAAGGGGGACTATGTTGATGGTGATATGAAAAATATAAAATCTGGGCAGATGAGCAGATGGGATGATAGGAAATATTCCCATCATGCATTGCATGACCTCACATCAAACGCATTAACTAATCATGCCGTAATTGAAAATCTCCGCATTGTAATAAGACACTATGGTGGGGAGCAACATGCATGAAGGATGGCAGCGGTCGGGTGTACACGTGCGTGACGCCAAGCTCAAACGGAACCGTGAAGCAAGACGAATATTTTTCCGCATGGTTGAGTTTCTCACGCCTGTTATTTCACAACTGTCATAATAAAGGATAATTGGTGATGACACAGCAAGTGTTAGCAATTTCATAATTTTCAAAGTTACTGTAGTACGAAGTCGCACTTTACCCGATAATTGTGATTTTCAATTAGCACCAAGGCAATAGAGATTCACCTTTGACCGGATTAGACTTTTTTAATTTTCACCAAAAAAATTAGCCTTTGTTGTATTATGACATCAAATTTTGGTGTTGTGTTAATTTATCAAACCTCTTGTTGGAAGAATTCATTGTCAGGTTAAAGGTTAGGATGACCTCGGAGGTTATGGTCAACATTGAAACATGATTCATATTTAAAGAGCTCTGTCAATTTTTTTTTTCTACAATTCAAAATGCAACATATTAAACAAAATTAAATAAAAACTTCAAGTGAAAATAAATACACTATCATCAAACATGTACATTAACCGTATGATCAAACAGATATTTATGAAATACTGCTGCCCTTGCAATATTTTTGTCCAAAAAAAATGATAAAGACTGATGTCTGACCTTGACCTTAACCTTTGTCCAATTCAGGCTGTAATAGGTCACATGACCTATCCCAATAAACGTGTCAGTGATGGGAAGGGCTGCTACACAATTTGAGAAATCTGAAATATGATTATTGTGTTTAAACCGATAGCCCTCTTGAGAAAACATAGTGAGCAGAAGTCATTTATGATTTGTTAATTTCACCTTTAAGAAAGCACAGAATGTGTATTGAGATTGCACATGACATGAGGAGAAATTGGATATGCTGTAATTGTGCCACTTTATCAATTAATCTATGATGCTATGCTCATAATGTCAACCTGATCTATTCCAGATTCACACACTGGCTAAGCCACATATCATCATCATCATCATCATCATCATCACTGTCATCAAAATATGTTTTGCCATCTCGCCATCAACAATACTGATGTCATCCTCAACAATATCACATGTCGTCTCCATCATCATCATCATCATCATCATCATCATCACTGTCATCAAAATATGTTTTGCCATCTCGCCATCAACAATACTGATGTCATCCTCAACAATATCACATGTCGTCTCCATCATCATCATCATCATCATCATCATCATCATCACTGTCATCAAAATATGTTTTGCCATCTCGCCATCAACAATACTGATGTCATCCTCAACAATATCACATGTCGTCTCCATCATCATCATCATCATCATCATCATCACTGACATCAGTATCACC